GAGAGAGAGAGAGAGAGAGAGAGAGAATATTCAGCTGAAAACCTGTTCATATAAATTGATTTTTACTTTTATTTTTATTGCAATTCAATAATCAATACATTCACTGCCCATACGTTAGTCTGTCTCCGGATTTTCATCTAAAATTATATATAATTGTAATTTAATAAATGCTTAGACATTAGACTTAAAACTTGATTTTTAAATGGCATTAATTGATTAAAAAAAGTTTTAAAGTCTATTTACGACTACTATTTAAAATTTAAATATAATTATGTTGTTATGTAATTGCAATTTCCATTCATTAAAATGCTGTGTAAAACGTCTATAGAAAAACGAGTTAAACAATTTTTATTTAAAAATTTTAATCATTATAATTAATATTAAATTTTTATTTTAACATTATTTATCAAATACAATGACAGTCCTAATGGTCTCGCCTTTCCTCATGAGATCAAAGCCGCGATTAATGTCTTGTAATTTCAATTTATTGGTTACAAACAAATCCAAATCCAATTGACCGCTCATATACTTGTCCATCAAATACTTGATCCCTTCCCTGGGTTTATAGCCGCCGTAGAAACTGCCCGTCAGCTTCTGGCCCGTCAATAACAGCCAGGGATTGATCGGCACGTCTGTACCTACGGATGAGATCACCATTAAAACCAAATTTACCATAAGCTAAACAACACACATACCTCTGGGCGGGAGACCGACCACAACACAGACACCCCATCGGTTAAGCGACTCGAAGGCCGACTTAATCGCCCGCACATTACCCACACATTCAAACGTATAGTCGAGTCCGCCGTACGACGACTGGAACAGCTGCTCAACAGTGGCCACACCGTCGGGCAGTTTTTGCGGGTTTACGCATTCAGTGGCGCCAAACTTGGCGGCGATCGGGAACTTGTCCTCATTGATGTCCACACCGATGATACGCCGGGCGCCGCACTCTTTGGCCGCCATAATGGCGGCCAATCCGATCGCACCTAGACCAAACACTGCCACCTGACTGTCCCGGTCCACTTTGGCCACGTTGACCACATTGCCGTAACCGGTGACCACACAGCACCCGATTAAGCAAACCTTCTCTAAGTCTACCGACTTGTCAATGGCTATAACCGACTCAATTGGCATAACTGTGTATTCGCTGAAAGCGGCGCAACCGATGGACTTGTATATGGGTTTGCCGTCAAGTGTCCAGAATCGGGTCGTCCCGTCGGGCATTACATTCATGGTCTCCTGAGTTCCTGTGGTTTCAATTGTTTGTTTGTTTAGTCGCCAATTATTTAATTGTGTTAATACACTAATAGGTTATTATGTTATGTTATTTACCGGTTTGACAGAAGTTTGTCTTGCGATTCATACATAGATCACATTTCTGGCAATTGGGTATCCAAAGAGGTATGATGTGGTCGCCGGGCGAGAACGCGGTCACACCTGTGCCCACACTCTCCACAACACCTGACCCTTCGTGACCCATAATCAACGGGAAGGTAAAGTCGTTGGCAATGTTGGTGTCCAGTATATGGAGGTCTGACCGGCAGATACCGCTGCCCACGATTTTGACCCGTATTTCACCGGCTTTTGGCGGATCCACGTATATGTCTTCGACGGACATGGGCTGTCCCGGCCCGTAGGCCACCGCAGCCTTGCATTTGATTCGCTTACCAGCGTTTCCCTCCATTTGTATTAATTAATTTGTTTGTTTTGTTTTGATTTTTTAATTAAATTTATTAATTACTAATTAATACACTCGTGTTATTAAAAAGTTTTCACAACAAGTTGTTTGTAAAATAAATGTTACGCAATTTTTCTGTGGTAAATATTTAAATTAATATAATTCAATAATGTAATAAACTAATTGAATTAATTAAAATGAATTTAACGCTGTAATTTAAATAAATAATATTACTTTTAATAACATTTATATTAAAGTTTCATTTCTGCAAAATTGTTGTAATATATACAAAAAATTCTAATACTTTAGCATTAAATATAAAAGTTTATTATGTGTAGTACAGCGATGCTAACAAATACGTTTTTCGCATAAAAAATGTTTTGAGCCAATCATTATAAACGTTATAATAATTGACTAAATATAATGCCCTTGAATTGAATCCATACTCATCTTATTCAACCCTTCCT